AAGTAAGTGAGCTACGAAAACACATACATACCACATTTAATTAATAAATACAAAAATATTTCTCAACTATCACTATTTACAAGAGTAATTCATTACTCTTTAGTAGCTGAAACGACTAACTCAGCAATGACTGATTTATTTTCTCTAATTTTACACTGATGCATTGAATAATCTATATGGTAAATGAACAGGATAACTTCCCACTTCTTCCAATATAGAATAACCAAACTGTTATTGTATTGATATAATTCAGAACTGTGTAGTGTGGTTTGGGATTATGAGGCTAACAATGTTTACTTATTTTCCTATACGTATATAACATATATTATTACAAGTGATCAGTTCTTCACACACAGAAAAGCTATCACAATTGTTGTGAATTTTATCACTTGTTTCAACAAGTAATGTTTAACTTTTTAATAACTTTTCTTCAGTGTCCGTTTTATATTTAAATGGCTAGTGCGTGCATTCAGTGGTTTTTTGGCACCTGACCAAGTACTTTTACTATGGGATAGAATCCTTGGATTTGATTCTTTGGAAATTTTATCAGGTGCAGACAACTGTAAAATGTTTTCTTATATACAGTAAAATAATTGTGTACATTTATGTTTTATATATGAATACGAGTCGACCGTAAATGAAGCATACAGACATAAAATACTCTGGTTCTCGACACTGCTCGGCAATTAAAGCAAAATACTGGACATAATAGTTGAAACTAATAGCTGACTTCACCAACTGTTATTTTGACATGTACCAGAAACCTAGGCTTCCTATCTGAACTGTTCAGTAAATTAAAACTGGGAGATCACAAAACCGTCAAATAATAGTGTAACATTCACCAAACATCTTTTCGCATAGATGAAGTAAAATGCTTGAATCTGATAAGCCCATTGATCTCTTTCATAGTTTTCCAGACAGAGCATAAAGCCACACCAACAAAATCACCTACATCTGTACTAACTCCTGAAATCTTTTTTTGGAAAACTCGCTGGTTGCTCTTAATCACAACGATCAAATTGAAGTTTTGTCGACGACATAGTCGTCGCCAGGATAACCTGAAAATAATACTACTGATGGGAAGAAAGAAGTTCAGTGTCGGTTACAAAGTTGGCGACGTAGATCATTAGTATTATGCGTTTTAAATTAACGAAGCTTTGAGAGCGGTGTTCGGTCCGCTTCTTATCTACATATCTGGAAAAACTGTTTTGATTGTGTTCTCTGCCTACTCTAAACACAATAATTCCACTAACGTACATACTGAATGAGCTAACAATCAAGTACTCACGTAAAATCAGCCTATTTCAAAACCGCCAGTAGGAACATTAGAAAGTCCGGTCAAGAACCACTTACTGTTCATAAAAAAGTTATTATATAAAAATATATAAATATATCAAAGCGACTACATAAATAGAGGATCATAATACACCGTAAATTTTTATAGGTTTATAGACAATTAACTAAATTTCTCTGAATAGCAATAGATGTCTCTACCTTTAATTGGTCAAACGAAAGCTAACATTTAGGATAATAATAGAATATCGTGAATCGGTTATCGAATGATTAAGTAATAAGTGCAGAAACAGACATCCAAAAAATAATCCCTTGATTTTCCAAGGGTTATTTCCGCTCTTCTAAACATTTTCTGTATAAATCGAAATTTTAATTATATCCACAGCGATTTTGTCGCCGCAAATCAAATTTACTATCTAGAATATGGTTTTCAAGCTACAATTTCCGAGAAGTCACTAGCTACGAGTTCTCTTAATCTTGATTATATTGAACATCACATATCTTTTTATAAATATTGACAAAATTACAAGGAACCTAACATATCAGACACAACTGGTAGTTTGACAAATTTGATTCAAGTATCAGTATAGGGTTCTGGATATTGTTGTTTTAATTGAGATTATCGACCGATCACTGTTCAAACACCAGCGAAAACATGGTAGCTCAGTGGTCTAGTGGTTAAGCGCTCGCGCGCGATCACTGCGTCATTCATATTCATAAATTTAATTGTTTAACTACAGTTATAACTGTCGCTATATTCTCTTACCGTAAGATCGTGAATGTAATGCATAATTACCGAATGATAGACATAATTTCATGTGAAAAATTTACTCACTAAACACAATGGGAGATGGTTGCACAATATCGTGGGATGGCTGAAGTTAGACATTAAAATCGTTGGTTAACGGCTCAGTGGTCTAGAGGCTAAATGTTCACTCGAGATCGAAGTCCATGGGTCTGAGTCATACGTGCGCAGTCGTAGATGCGTATGACTGAGGAGTCTTGTGTTAGGACGAAATGGCTGTTCAATGTTTCCAAGTGTTTAATGGTTGTCCAACTTAAATCGGTTCATGATTCCAATGAAAATCTACTGTTTCTGTGGTATGTGCTACTTATGTCGACGTAAGTAGTATATAACGCAAACCAGGAATAGAATATCTGACAGCGGAAGGTTGGGAAGATCGAAGAGGAAAGAACGAGAACAGAGAGTAATTGGTATGGAAATGAAGTCATTGTGTTCAGTGGGTAAATTTTTCACGTGAAATTATGCCTATCTTTTGGTAATTATGCATTACATTCACGACCACTGTGTCATTTATACTAATAAATTTAATTGTTTTACTACAGTTCTAGCTGTCGCTATATTCTCTTACCGTCGTACTAATCTACTTCTGGTGAAAACAAATGCAGATGTTGAGGTGTGAAAATTGTTTGATACATTGAATTAATGTCTGTTTGAATTTACTTTACGATTCTTATTATTTCTGACAAGATTATAATTTCGAAGTTTAAAAACCATTCACCAGTGCAAATATATTTAGCCAAGAATCGTTTCTGAGAAGACTGCTTACAAACACTTCACCAAATGTCTTAGTTATGAGGTAAAACTTGGATAGACATTTAGTGCAATCAGTCATACGCAAAGAAGAAAATGACACATATGTGGATCGGTTCAAGCTCCCATGCCATATCAGCACAGAGATAAGATTATCATTGAAATCATCAACCGACCTTAGTTAGCCATTAAAAAACTGGACGTACTAGACTGCCGTTTGTTCCTAGCATGGGACTACTTGGCAGTGTGCATCCACAACAACGCAACCGGGAGTCGAACTCATAACATTCAATCTCGCACTCATACTTAACCTTTAGACTGGTGTCATGTCCTAATTCGATCAGTCTGTAACTTTCTCCCAACGTACTCCTACACCAAACAGTGTCACCCCTCGAGGCATGGTATAAGTAATCCATGTCCCAAATACCTCAGTTGATGAAGATGCACAACCTCACCAACCGATTCACCATGCATCCAGAATACCTATCTCGAATACTAGTAACCTACGGATATCCCCCATTCCTAATGGCCATGTTTAACACCCATAAAGTAGAATATCGAGTGCGTTGGGAAAAATAACGTTTAAGGTTGGAAAAGAATATGTTTCCATTATTCGTCAAAAGCAAGAGCTCGTTTTCATAGCTTAGAAACGAACTTCCATTTATAAGTACAGGTTTATAAAGTCAATAAAAAATTTCAAGTCTTTAGTAAGAATTGGAACGAAAATCCAGGAACTACCAAATAAATACGATTGATGGGAATGATTTATGTATCTGATACAAAAAGCAGCTCGAAAAAGAAGATATCTAATAAAGTTTGATCAAATAACACGAAATTACAGAACTCAATCCGAAATAATTACACAGCAGTTCCGTTGGTTCACGTAGTAGAGTAGTTCACCAAACAACAAAATTAGCGGCTACTACACTTGATCATTAATATTCTATATTTCGTCACATTGTGCTGAAATATGTACGGAAAACATCATAATGTACTAAGTATTGGGGTAAGATTCCCTTTTAATCTAGTATTTTTCTGGGTTAAATGGCAAAAAAACATAGAACCCTTAAGTGATAACTCACAGCCATTTAATTTAAGCACGTAATAAGAAATATGGTCCTGTACTTTTATCTACACTAACTTCAAAATATTTGAAAATAAGGTCTTTAAGTTTCGAACTGAACTAATAATTTTGAGCTGTACTGATAAACATTCATGGTCTAACCCAAATAGGCGTACGTATAGTGAACAACTTGATTATGAACAAACAATTAAGTAGCGTTTATGTATTGATCTAATAATTTACATTCACTTAAACGTAAGTAATAAATGTTCAACTTTTATTTCCAGGCGGTTTTAGCAGACTTGACATCCATACGAGTGATCAGTCTTCTCCAAATGGTTATGTTCACAAACTGAAGTTATCATACTGATATGTTAAGTTGTGAAAAATTTGTATATTCCAATGATACTGCATTATACAAAGTTTGGACTATTTTCTTTAAAATAACTAATTTGGTAATATTATCAGTCAAAATAATCTGACAATAAATTTCGACAAAATTTCGGGATGTACAGTATAGTTTTAGCTGAATGTTCAACAAAACAATTTCGAAGGTCCAGAAAGCGTATTTGACTGGTTTGCTTTAAAGAGATGAGACGTCCGAGTATTCTGTCGTCATAAAAACCTAAGCTATTGGCTATAAACGTGTTAGCCTTTCTAAGCGATGCGCGCAAAGTTACTTAGCATATCACCATGAGTCAAATAAACAGCCATAATATTCAGATCGTTTCAAACACTAGAACTTGAGTTATAAACAGCAATTTACTTTCAGTCATGCCCATCACAGCTACCTAGATTACGAAACCTCTCCTTTAAATAAAATGTTTAAATATAAAGGTGAGTTGGGTTATAGATAGGAATTACATATAGTGGATTTTAGTAACAACGGGATAAGCTGTTGTGCGTTATATGAACAGAACCATCTTGCATGATGAAATATGTCACTAATTTTATATCTCATATTCTATCAGAAACCCCTTTTATAGCATATATCTGAAATTAGAGCAACAAAAACTGAACAAATATAATAAGTTTTTGCAATGCGATTGATTTTCACTGAATTAGTATGATCTATCAAGGAAAAATGTCATGAACGTGAAAATACTTTATTTCCGTTGAAAAAGTCGTAAGCATAAAGCAGTTTTTGTTAACAAACATTATATTTCATACTTCTTATATTCCATCCCATCTGGAGGTCGTATTTCAACTTTACCTGCTCCAACTTCACTCCAATTTGTGCTGAGGACTGTACCAGCGGATTCCGTCTAGAATAAAAACATCAATGCATTACGACTCTTTAAAAGCAATAAAACGATATCCCCAAAAATACTTAAAATGCTGAATTAGGATTAGTCAAAAGTTTGCTTGACATCATAGGATTTTTTCGCTAACAACTGGGATATATGAAAGCTTTCAAAAAATGAAAATCCAAGGGTCGGACAATACTGCACTAATTTGGACTGCAGTATCTAAGAAAATATGTTAATACAAGTACGATTTTCAAAGTAAAAATGAAAGTGGTTATGTGCAATCAGCCGTACACAGATGTTATGTAGGCTTCTGAAGGATATCCCATTTTTACATGTAAAAAACCACTTTAATTCGTCTTGAACTTTTTTCCACCTCGATAACTGATATTATCAGATTTTAGGGAGTTAAGGCATTGGATCTTTGATACAAGGTTTGACAAACAGTTACCACAATTTTACAGGAGCATAAAAATAATTACTTTCAGTCGTACGTTCTGCTTCGCATCACCTAGTTGATATAACGGCTAAGCGAAGACGCTGAAGGAATAGGATATATATTAGTATTTTCTGGTTTTCGAGCTATATAACTGGAGTTTTCACTGTATAGAGGACAGGTTTTATTGATATACACGGCAGTCATTCACTTCATTTTGCACATAAGAGTGAAATTAAACAGGAAAACACCAATAAAGAGCTTTGTGAATTCCATTTCAACAAAACGATAACGGTGATTAGTGGTAACAAATTCATATGCTTCCAGATAATATTAACTTTGGAAGTGGAAAAAGAAACTTTTTCTGACGACAGTGAGTAGGATAAGCTGCTGGAATTTAGACTGATAGCTTACAAGATAGACAGTATAAGTAGAAGTGATAGTCTATGAGAGAATAACAGATTACATCACCAATTGATCCCAGAATTCAAATATTAAAAGATAATTGAAATCTCGGACCACTTCAAAACAAAACGGACTTCGATGATAGTTAACAGTCTATTGGATTGAAGGTATTTAGGAGACGGGACGATAGGCAAAGGTAAGTGATGACAATAGAATTTATGAATTTTATTTGTAAATTCACTAAAAGTGAAAGGAGACAAGTGGAGGACTTTCAAGAGTAACTCTAATAGCTTAAGTTGCAGAAAAGACTGAATAATCAATTTTGGGAGCATTTGGGAACCTCAGGTCTCAAAAGGTAACTTTTGAAGTTCTACCTTCATTTGCCTTTAAAGCCGCTGTCCACGACTATTATTCACATGGACAATAATTTAGGATCTGGGACATATATCTGTCTAAACTCTCAAACGGAGAGAAAAACGATAACTTGAGATGTATAATAAGTAATACTAACATTAGAAATAAAGAACTCCAGGTAACGTTCGCTGACCAAAATACATTTAAGTTTAGTGTTTAAGTACATCACTCCCTGAAATGTTTGTATATTTTCGGCTGGCGAAGAGCCTTCAAATAGAATGCGTTCAGTCCCTTACGGAAATATTTTTTCTGTTCAAATTAAAATCGATGGATCTGGGTCATTGAAAGCGATTTTGCGTAAGACAGCGTAAAGAAACAAAGCACTCGTTTGTACCTCAGACTTGAAGTAGATAGTCTATATCTCCCGAAACACTTCAGACAAACAGTCATTCTATTCAGGAAATGATACCGTATTTTGATCAGACCTAGAGAGAACTGGTTAAGGATTAATACAGATCTTCAGAATTATTTACTTTCATAGTGTTGGCTCCTGAATGAGAACCTTTCGTCAGACATATGCCAAGTAGAACCTGGTGCTTGTGTACATTGGTTCAAGTTTCCACACCCCATTAGAACATCGAGGTGAAAACACTACAAAAATTCCAAGAGTAATAGAGGTTGTGAGAGTATTCGTTATGATAAAACAGATAATACATCAACTTTACAACCCAAGAAAAAAGCGTTAAGTCAGTTGAACGAAAAAAAAATTCTGAAGAATTTAGAAAATCGGGATCTACAGAAAGATAAACAGTAAATGCATCTGAGAAATTCCAAACGATTTCGACCTATATTAAAAACTCTCCAACTATTCTTAACGATAATCAACCAGACCCTAACCAGGTAGTCTACACTTACCTAAATAACTCAATCCAAAAGTATCTTCGTAGATTGATGTCGTGTCTTACATATGGCATGCGAAATCCGTCAAGTATAGAAACGGTAGACTAATTTCGAAAACTAACTTACCCTGACATCTGAGTGTCGGAAAGATCAATCAACGTTCTCAAAAACGTATGATATCCTTACATAAATTCAACAAAACACCTTTGTCTTAGAATCAGGGTTTACTGTTTTTCTTTTTTAAAATTTTTAGTAACCTTCTATCCAAAGTAGTTCATAGGCTTGTGGGAATCAGCAGGCTCAACAATCATATCATCATAACAATTAGGCTTCTGTTGAAACAGATGTATAGCGGACAGTTCTATTTAAATTTATTCGATAATTGTCTCAACTTATGAAAACGTAATTCCCACTTCATAATCTTAAGAAATTGATTTGAATATCAGATCTCCAAACCTTACTATCTTTAATTACGGAACAGTGATGAGTGATTGAGAATAGTACAGGAAAACAAGGATTAAACCAGATTTTATTAACAGACGTATTCCTCTACACTGGTAAGTAGTTTTGAAACAGGTGATCAAGGTTCAGACAAGAAAAGTAAATGAACCAATAATGTTGTGAGACTTTGACTATGACCGGTGCAGAACTGTTATGGTAAGGGAACACATGCAATATCAAGGCATTTCTCATAAATTTCTTATCAGTTAATGGTCATTACCAGCCACGGGAGTCGCAAAAAAGCTCTTGTAAAACTACGCTCCTGGTTTCATATTTGCACGTGAACATAAACATAGTTATCGACGCCCGATTATACCCATATTTCTTAACCTACAAGTAGCATCTAATTCTTTCGACCTAGGTTTAAGGGCAAAATGTTTCATTGAAAGACATATCGAATATCCATCCAAACCTTGTTAATGTTTTCTACTCGAACCCTATTGGTTGACTCAGCACTTATGGCGAACTTTAAGCCTCAAGTAGTATTGGGGATGTTCAACCTTCAAATACAAGAAAACTAAAATCGATGTAATCTGATTGTAAGGTCAACTTCCAGCAAATTTCCGTTACATTGCTCTATCAACTGATATAATTCAGTTTATTGAAAACCACTCAGTTCGCAGTCCTAATCATTGTAACTGATACATAACTGAATAACTTTAAATGTATCTTCAATCCCACTGGAATCATCACCAACACCACTCCCATTACGAAACTGGACTTCTCTATGATCAGTAGGCAGGGGGAAGGAAAGGATAGTAGTTTTGTTTGCGGTATTGAAGTCGGAGTTGAGAGTACATTAGCTTAGTGCACGAGCGTATCAGATGGTTTTCATCAGAATTGCCCACTACCCCCTCTTATTTAATGTGGTCAAAGATGCTCTCTTACAAACAACACTTCTCAACTTTCCAGAGGTTAGTCTCGCACCAGGACGTTCACTTATCGAATTAAAATACCTAACTGATATAGTTCTATTTGATGATAACGCTGACGAAACGCAGTTTCTTGGCTACCTCGAACAGCAATCTAGAGATGTTTGGGATGCGTTTCTTTCCCCATAAATGCAAAATGTTGCCTGGACTGATTATAAGGAGTAAAGTAGTTAAGTACCTTGATCGCTTCACTGATCTTAAGAGTCCTGGTGGGTTGGTCTCGGAAAGGATCTAAAAAAGCTCGGTTAGCCCCAATCAACTTGCGTCACTTTTGGCGTGGGCTAAATGTCCGTTCACAGACAAAGCGCGTTTGTATTGCGCAGCAGCCTGTCCTGTTCTACTGTATGGCTGTGAAACATGCTATCTGAAGGTAGAAGACAAGCATAAACCCCAGGTGTTTGACCATAGGTTTCTTCAAGGAATTGTTAGCTTTTCATGGGTCGACGGAGTGGGCAATCATGAGGATGGACATAGGGTACTCGTTAAAGGTCGCAAATCAATTAGTGAGGCGGTGTAAATTCATAGACTAAGGTGGTAAGCGAATATATTACTTATGTCTAAGCACAAATCGGCTCTGGTTAAGTTAGTAAACAGTGAAAGATAAGATACTCCGATTAAAAACAACTATGCGGGACTAGTCAAGAAATGAAGTCATGGGATAAGATATATTTGTCAACTGATGACAAATTACCGCTACTATTCACGTCAATGTTCTATACGTGAAAGGCACAGATATTTTGTCCGTTTCATTTAAGTAAAATAGACTATCTAGTCTGTTGGGATAAAATCAAGCAAATACCTGTTTGCTTAAAGCACATTCGAAATTGAAACGACAATCTAAACTTCAAGCCAAAACTCTTTAGTTTACTAGAAGTAAGAGAAAAGAAGGGAGAACCTACAAAACTTTTGATCATTGCCCTTCTAGTTTCATCTGAGGCATTTTCGTAAATATTTCTGAACAACTTGTTTAGAGGGTCTTCTTCTCCCTCTATTTCAGCTGCTTCTTTATCGATCTTATTCCAATCGTGTGCAGATTTGCTTGAAGAAGGGTAGGAGTGAACAATTTTGGTGACATCATATGACGTCTCTGCAAAGAAATAGAGAAAATGAATAACATGGATAGAGGTTGTGCTTAGATTATCTTGATAAATACATTTTAGAGACGCTGCAAATACAGAAATATTTGTTTTACAAAGTTTATTTGAAGCAAATCAATAGTAAGCGTGACTAAGTAATGAGCAAAGCAGTATCTCAAACAATATATTAGAGATGAATCCATTGCATTCGATTTCAAATGCTTGTCCTGGGAGTTAATAAAAAATGCAAGATTCATTGCAGCAAACTACCGTCCACCTAAAAACCATCCTAACACAACTCTTTGAACAGGGTTAAACGTATCTACAATTCTTCACGTCAAAAAGCAAGTACGTTTGGATTGCTACTTCTTAACGCTGAACAAAGGTAGGCAAGTAAACCAATACAGCGTCATGAATGAATAGACTGACGTACAATTATAAGTAACTGAGATATTGAGAAAGTAAAATACTTAGCCCATTGACTCTAAAACTTGATAACTACGAACTTAAGATGCAAACACACTGTATTCCTTCCGAACTACTATAATACATTATAATATCAAAGAACACGTGTAGATATGAAAAGTCAATTTTGATACACTCACTCGACCAACTAGTGTCACTGTAGTGTCTAGTACTATGTCAAGCCCACATAGGTTATTCTAGCTTACAGAGTCACATTCTGACCTTGTCAATAATCCGTCTATTAATCTTGACTGTTTTTATATCAGCGTACGTGTGTGTATCGCTTACCCTACTTATCACATATCTACCTTATTTCTCCGGCTATAAATATGGAGTCATGCTTAATCAAGTAAGGTCTGCACACTTGTATTCTATGCTTTTTATTATTAGTTTTTCTCAACAGACGAGTGCGTGAAATAAATACATCCCACTGACGACAGATTAATTAAGTAATAAAAATAGTTTGACAAATCTATAACTGCACCCTAACTAACTTCAACTTACGAATTCCTGAACCAGTGATACAATCTTGAGATTCCAGATGACTCCAGCAAACTTTATCTGCTTTCTTTAACTTGATTTCGATTTTCGTGGCGGTGACACGGTATGATGAATCTTCTGGCACAACTTCATGAAACAACTGGAATTTCTTGAGCAACTCATCACCGGTGGGAATAGTCAGGTACAAAGAAACCTGTCTTTATGAATTTAATTTATTATTTTACTTTCTCACCTCCCGTCTTTTTATTTCTACCCGAATATCAGTTGGCGCCATCTTTTTTCTTAAATAATCTATCCAAATATTATCCTCTGACTGATACCAATCAAATCTATTGAGCAACAAATCAATGAAATCTCCACCTTGACTAACCGATCACCAGAAGCAGACATTATTAACCTGCAGGACGAAAGTTTAAACTCTAAGGAATGCAACGAAGCGATAAAATTGATGAGTTCGCCGAAATACGGTTGTCAACTGAATATTGAATGCATATGCATTACACTTTTCTAAAAAGTGTAAAAAACCACCATTCTTTGAATATAAGCATCTTTATGTTCAGAAATAAAATTGGTTTTAAAGATAAAGGAAGAAAAGGAAGAGAAAGAAGGAAAATATTGTACAGAGAATCAGTCACGATATAAATGACAATAATAATGAATATGTGCACAGGCAGATTTCAGAACCTTAGGCAGCAGACAATAAAGAATAGAACGAACGAATGCAGGAACAAAATTTCAAAGGTTCTACTTTGCTTTACAGTCAATTATAAAGATATCGGACCTTGTTTGTATGAATCGTTTATATTCACAATAAATTTGATTACGCGAAGCAAAGTACTTCCGAAAAGAAAGCCATTAAAGGAAGTCCTGAACCGAGCTCTAGTTTCACTACAACGCAAGCTTATTGCGTGTCCGTCCACGATGGTTGGATAGCAAATATCAATAAGTTCTGACTTCCGTTAATGTAGGTCCCGGGAATCGATTGTTCAGGTTGTTGGAGGATACGAAGAAGTATGCAGAGTTGTATGCCCAAAAGTAAGACATTCCATTTGTAGGCCGTTTGATAAATACAAGGTACAGTTTAATGCATCTGATCCCAAGAGGTTCAAACTTGAGATGTTGATATCTTTAGTGGTAAACCCTGCTGTCAGACTACTCATAAAAAAAGAACTGAATCTTCTTTAAGCAACTTCAATCTTGATCAAGTAATTGATTGCAGTTACTGTAGAAAAGAACAACATAAAAAATGGGGAAAATATAATTTTCGTATGGTAACAATGACTATTCGATGTTATTGAAATATATCACTAAGAAAACTGTTGGAATTCTGCCTTTGGATACATGAAATAAAATGTGGTCGGAGAAGATAAAACGTTAAAATATTTGAGAATAACTGCATAGGAGAAACTGGGACATCAGTGTTGGAACTCCGCCTAATATAAAACATCTTCATTTCGTATATCCAGAAAGACCAATATCACTTACACTGACGTTGTTGTTAACAGATCACTTATGTGACGACACTTTGGACTTGTAGATCAGCACATGCTGGAAAATGACTAACCTCCCCAAGATAAAGAAACAGGTGTCTATTCTCGGAAATTTAGAAGTTATCCATCTGAATCAATTTTGGCGAACAGTTACATATTCATATACTTGATCTATCGATTATTGATTAAGTGAACTAAGACTACGGAAACAACTAGTATTGATTCCGTATTGGACGTTTTTAACTGCTAACGATTTATGTTATAATTATAACTGTGTTATTGGCAATCGTACTTATGCTATTATATTAAAATTTGATGTGCTACTAGTGAGTGCATATCATTAGTTTATGAAAGCCTCAAATTACTTATGAAGGAAATCATTTAATGAACAGAACGTTGTTGCTGAGTGTCCGAGCTTGCCCTATGGAAATGTTCTCAGGACAACCGAATAACTTAAGGCTGATCGAGTAGCTAAATATATTTGGATTATAGGAAGAGGTCTTGTAATGTCTGACTTTTTGTTTAGGTATTGATCAAATCGTTCGCGCTTACTATGATCCAAAACGTTTTTGGTTCAGTTCATCAGTCTTGTTTCTGCTAGTAACGGTGTTCTCAGTGTACGAAGTATGGTTAGCACTGATGATGAATTCCTACAAAACGGTTCAATTTGAAATCTCATTTACAAGCATAACTAAGACTTTCATCCAAATTAAATAGTGAAGTAGGTATATTTTTACAACCCATGATATTTCATGGAAATTGCCTGGAATTTAGGTGATCTGTGTAGTTACTGACTTCATTTAACCAACTTCTCTTCGGTGCATTACTCACGACTTTATCTGAAGTTCATGCTATCACAATAATAACAACGGTCTGTTACATGAAAGATGTCAGTTTAAAGGCAAGATTAAATTCTTTCAGAAGATACAGTTTTCAGTGTGGCCTGTTACACAGTTGATTTGATATTTTATAAGTTACACTGATCATAAAAGTACTTGATTTGACACTATGCATGTGTTTAAATATAACTTCCAACTATTATTAACGCAATAACCTTTTGGGCACATTATAATTAAAAGTCGTTGATCATCGATGGATATGACTTTCTGGTGATATTCTTACATAATCAAACTTCAGGGAAAAATGTTATTCAGATAACCGAAGTTTCGTAAGTGAGCTGTATGAGTAAAATTAATCTTATCACATAAAATAACAGGTCGTTTTCTAAATAACCATGCGGCGAAAGTTAGATCACCACTGCCACTGATTATTTTTGAAGTCTTAATGCATTCATGTTTAATCTTTTCTAATAATTAGTTGGGGTAATCTGAACAAATCACCTCATTTGTTCGATAGTTATTACTTGGTTTCTTTAAAATTGCACTGTGGTGATTAACAAACAACCTATGTGTAACGCCGCGGATGGTTTTATTTAATGATGAACCAAACGCATTTAAACAGGAATACTGTTAGAGCAAATATCTAAATAAGTTTGGACAAATCAAAGTCTAATTTCTGAACAAATACGAAGCGGCTGCAACAGATGATAATCTAGGTTCTCTGAAGCTAAGTGGATTGATATATCAAGATTTCGATGTATCAATAATTCCATAAGAGTGATAAAATTAAGTACCATTATTAGAGGTAATGAAGTTTTCGTGCCTTAAAGTAACCCTCGTGCTATTGATAGAAGAAACCAGAGAAGTAGTGAAAAGGTCTTTATTTCGACCTTAGCGCGGTGACAGTGGAGCATGGGATTATCTGTTCAGACAAACAAAGGCTCTCAACAGTCAATATAAGATAATAGGGAATATAACGCTTATACAAAACAAGGAAGTGAATGAATACTTGAACAATACTGTTTTGGCATATGCTTGGTTGTTTGGGGTCAACTCTGAACCAACCAACCTTAGCTGTTACATTAGCTCCCCCCTAGAATCAACTTCCTTAGGAACGTCGGTTCGATTAACCTAACTATCGAAAACGCCTTAGTTCTATTTCTCATCCCAAGGGAAAATTATCAACTCGCTCACTGTTTGATTTACAATCAGTGACGACTGACGCTGTCAACGATAGTCCATGGATGTCTCTTCATTTACTAGCTTGTCATTTTATTTTGTAGCATGTGATTTCTTCTACAACTATCGCCGATGGTTTGCTGCGTGCTTTCAAGAGAAAGAGTGTGAGAATGTGGAATAAGAATATCTGAGGAAGTGCCGCGAGCGGGCTACCCAACACCATGTTGGTGAGGTACGATTTTTCCGTGCTCAGACCGGCTATCAGGTGTTTACTCACCTGCCTCTTGAGTCGCCCTCAAGTAAAAAGTAAAGAAGAATCTACTTCAAAGGTGATGGTGAAAATCAAGCAAATCTGAAGAACTGCTCCACTGCCTGCATAAAATAATAAGATACAAAATGGAAATACATAAATGTAATTGATAATTGTTCGATTCCATGTAAGTGCTTGGTCTCCAGAACGGATTGGTATTCTGGAAGAGAATAGACATAGTGTAGATATCTTGTGCACGAAAAACCATGAAAACAAAAAAAATACTCTTTTGTAATGCATATATGTAAAAGGGTGAACTTGCTAGAAGTTGGACTCTTTAACAAAATCGATCAAACGCATGACCTCGAGCCTGTGATGACCGCGTTTTACAACTAGGTGCGTAACCAAGGGTGCATCAGAATACTCCACAAAACGGAAAAGAATATACGGTTAAGAAGCAAAAAAAATTGTGTAGAGTATGCGGATCAAGTACAGTTGTGTCAAATACCCTTTTCTTGTTTGATTTAGGTATGCATGATATATTGAAGCAATATATCGTCAATTCATCCAAGTAACGAATCGGTTTGCACCTCAGAAGTGTGTAAGTCCTATTACTCATTAGTATTATGAGTGATTAATTGGTGTAAGGAAATATTGAAGTCACTTCTTCCGTGGTCTGATGTGGCTTAACGGCTAAGCACGCGGTCTAGCATTCAGGAGGGCAGAGGTTCGAGTGCGTGTGGGGCCTGCGTTTTTGTTCACCAGACCCACCTTCAATACGATGTTTGTTGCCCGTAAGTCGCGCACATATGAGAGAAAAAATGACAAGGGGACAGATTGATATATCAAAGTGCCATATTGGAAAAGTATAAGTCCTTTGTTTACATGAATATTATTACTATAGAAAAAAAACTACAAGTTTAGTAAATTTCCATTTTACGTTATATTTAAAACAAAGAATATATATATCAGTTATTGACATAAAATGTCTTTTTTATAACGCTAATGTTAAGTTCCAGGACTTTGTATGGACCACTAATAATAATTGGTTTAACGTTAGCATAGTCGTGATGTTCATATTGTCAGTTCAGTGTTATGATTACTAAACAGTTCCCTTATAAGTTGTTTAAAATTAGGTGTGTGGAATCAATGCGGCTGACATAGTAACCTTACAGTAACGCACTGTACTATATCTTCACGGTTATTGATTCTTAAATGTCAGAAATTAAAAAAATCTGAATATTGCCAATAAAGATGGGTTATATGATCACACTGAAAAGCATGCTGCAGGGAAACTGGTTAAGTCATTACGTAAGTTTCCTAAACATGAAAAAAAATGATGAGAACTTTAATAAGTACTTGACCATGGTTTAATCCAAAATGTTTTGTCTAGAAAACTACTTATTAATAGTAGTATTAATCGTATCAAGTTACTAAACATATCCTCAACCGAAAACTTTTAGAAGTAGTTCATATGGTATATATGTATAGCCAGTCCACGTGAAAAATGTATATAAATATATAAGAAGTACAGCTAACATAGTTAATTAACCAGAAAAAGAAATTATAAAACTCGCCTGGGTTGCTTTTTGAATTCGTTGTATTTGCCAGTGTTAGTTGTATGAATTTGATTGAAATCCTCAGCCATCGTTTCGGAATACCTAGCTTATGTGTCCAGTATTTTAAAAAAATATTTAACATAACACGTATA